TCAAAGTAGTGGAATTTTTCCATCTCGATCTTATTGATCGATCTCTCGCATTACTCTAACGAAGTTTCTATACATTTACTATATAAAGCAGAACCCAATTCATTGACTTTCAAAAAGTTATCATACTGATTATCAGGGTCACTTTATTTATGCGTAGACTACTAAAGGTATAGAGTAAATTCCTGAGCTATATTACCATACGGCTGACTGCTTCCAACCTTCACAATTTGTATGAATTTTTTACCAAACTCCATACAATCTAGTTTTACATCCACTATATCGTAGCTCCTCTCTCTTGCTGACAATTATTTTATCTGAAATCACTTTTTATTTTCCTTAGAATAATCCATTTAGTGATGCGATCTTGCTATTTCTGAATACTTATTTCCCCGAGTGGACCGACTAACATCCTAGCCTAATTATTTCTTGCTGCCGCTTCCAAGGAGCTTCTTTTCTCCCAGTTTTATAGCTGGTCATTCCATCCTTAGATAAATTTAATTGGCTTTTTGATTTTATTCAATTGTCCTTTTTGCGTTCATATGAGCATCCTTTATTACATTAGTTTCTATAACCCTTAGCATGATAGTTTTCCTTTGGTCTATCTCTGACACCCAATTTTTCGACGTATTTTCATTTGAATTGCCATGCACATGGAATTAGTAATTCGGTAGCATCCCTCATATTCTCACAGGTTCAAACACTGGTTGTTGAACATGACCCATTTAGTTTGCTCGTGTTATTGTGAAACTCACGATATTTTTATCACCCACAAGCCATATAATCCTTATTATAACCTAAAAATGGTCTACAATAACATCAATCTTGAAGGTATAACGCCAAATGCGCTTCTGGGATGCTCCACCAATTTTATTTTTTACTTGAGTAAATTTCATGATATCGTTCATTCTCTCTTTATTTCAGCCGGATCTTTGATCAAATAGATTCTTTTCAGGCTAAAAAGAAGGCAGTATCAACAGAACCTACACAAAATGAGGCTGTTGTTTATGAGATCTACGACCTTGCTGATCGAGGGAAATCTACTGATCTTGAGAAGGTAATTTTCCATGCGTCAGTCACTGATAAAATAGATGTTCATTCTCTTAAATTGAAATGGAGTTTACACTTAGTGAGCAATTAGTTAAGGAACTGATTCTCTGAACTTCGGTTACAACCGCTTATGTATGGGCACTGAATTGAGAACGATTGGTTCTGATCCCGCCAGTCAAGCATTCATCTCGTTTTAATTATATTTACTCTACTTATCTTATACTTATGCCCAATTGCACATGCACTTGTTCCCAGATGCTGGTATCGATAACCAATCCGGACATAAGGTGGATTCTTTATGGAAGATGGGACCCGAGAACCTGCAAAACATGAAAAATTTCCGTGTTAACACCTAATTTAATAGAATTCGTCAGTAGCCTACTTGCCAATCGTTTTGCTCGAGATCAGGATTTTGCCTATATTTTGTCATTTTAAGATTCAATCAACCAATTCGGTCCCGAATAGCGTTATGAGTGGGATCAAACCACATGCGCTGGCTCACCAATTTAGTATGCTCTTCACATCTATTACGAGCTGAAAAGCGGTTTTCACTCACTTTCATCAGCCAAATATTTATAAATAGTCTCATGTGCGAAATATACTCCCTAGTCTTTTGTCATACATTACATTTTCAACATTTAATGTCATTGACCTTTAAACCCAGTTGGCTGAACTTGATCGTCGTATTGAGCAAATGGAGGCCCTACTAGGCCGGCCCGATCCGGCTCGCCTATCTGCTCTGACCGCGGATACTGCGCACCACGGCTTGGTTGAGGCAGCTTCTCGCCTTGCTGCTCGATCTGCCCTCCTGCAGCCCACCCATCTAGATCATGTAGAGGCGAGACTTTTTGGACTTCATACTAGGTTGCAGTCCTTAACTGAAAAGCGGGAAGCTATAGCGGACGCCGACACACAGAACAAGGTATTGTGCTCCCTGACTCCGTACTTTTGAGTAGTGCAGACAGTGAGGGACAACTCCCTCAACAACAGAATCCAATTCAATAACACAGTTGAAGGCCGTTTTGACCGAACGGTCGCATAGTAAAAAGAACGAGGGCGATTGAATGAAGTTACAAAGAATAATTACTTTAATATCTACCCAATATGCCGCGAAACCACTTCTCTCGATGTGATCGGAAGCGCCTGCAGACCTTGTCATAGGTCGTTCGTAGCCTCCACCAGGCCTATACATATCCCTAGACAGCAGATCACCCGTAAATCCCAAAGACAATCTTTCGGCGACTTATCACTTCGAAATTCCCATGCGATCAATTAACTCCTCATGTCCACTTTTGGGGATATAATCGTATATCAAATATATTTTTCTTTTAGATAGCGGAGCTTTACGAATTAGTGAAAAAATGGAACAATGTATACGAAAGTCTGCCGACCATAGTCGACCGCTTGTCAATCATGAAGGACTTACATGAACAAGGTGATTAACCTCATTTACTAATCCCATTGATGAATAAATTAAAATAAATTTTTTTTTTCAGCCGCTGATTTCAGTCGTGGTCTAGCCCTGATGGAATTAGGGCAGAAAGGCATGGAAGAAAAACTTAGGAACTACAGTGGACTACTTGAACAAGTCCGCGAAAGCATGGGAGAAAACATGGAAATTATTAAAAACAATCTTATCTCGCTCGAGGCAAAGACTCAACCATAGCCTGGACGTAACTTGATGCTGACATAATATTGATGAAGCTGCCAATAAAAATACCCTTGTAGTGGATTATTTATTTTAGTAAAAGGGCAGTAAACGCAACGAGAACAAAAGGCATCAGGATCAGGAGATCTCTTTGCAATATTTATCATACATCTCCTTGAGAATTAGGTATGCGTCCATATACCTCTCTTCGTTGTATCGGCAGGCCGACTTCCATCTGGCAAAAATAAAACAAATGAATGAATTAAACCCAGACAAAACTATGCGCCGGTAGTTCAATCATATCGACTAGAAAGATAGAACTTACTTTCTTCTGATCTCTCTCCAGCGTGATATATGTTGTTCTAGTAAGCCTTCAGGTGACATTTCTTTGGGGGGATCCTACAGAAAAATAAGATAAAAGGAGCCAACCTCAACATTAATGACGAATGGCTGTCCTATCGACGGGAGTGGTGGAGGCACTCGAACTTCATTATCCGTCAGACCATCCATGGGCTTTGGAAGCGCATAGTGACATTCTGGAAGCTGTTCTGTGTTCTAAAAAAGTAATGTAAAATAGGAGTGACCTCAAGATCATCATCAGCGTTCGGGATATCGTTCCAGGAGGAAGCATCTCCCTGGTTCAAATTCCTAATCCATGCTCTGGCCATGGGGTACAGCGGAGCATTTTCAGTGAATTGACTAAAGTCCACACTTCTTTCAAAGACTTTTATAACGAAAGATTCTAAAGATTGTTATGGATACTCTCGAGCAGACTACCTTTGTAGCCTTCCTCTTCATCTGACCCAGCTCGGCGTTTTCGCCGCTTTGAATCATTAGGTGAAGTCTTGAAGAAAGACGGGCGAAACTTCTCTTTCTCTTGTGATTCCCTCCGACCGAGTATTTCGTCCTTGTATCTGGAGCTTTCTTTTCTATTTAGCATATTTTATAATTGGGGATACGACTCACGCTCTATTTGGATTGTCCTTAAGTGTCTGCAGCAACTGATCCAACTTGTCCCTAGCGTACGAAATATCGGCATCTAAGATAGTGAAGGAAGGAATGAGATACCATCCCGATCCGGCCACCAGGCCCTATCATCCCAATTGGCCGCCATTTGGACGGTTGAATTGACCTCCACGTATAAATGGGTTGATTGGAGAAACGGTTACTCTAAGTCAATTCATATTTATTTACCTTTGGCAAATTTGAAGATAATTGACTAAAAATTGTTTGAGAAAATATATTGAGGCGGATGAATTTTGTTTACTAAGCTCCGGTAATGGTTGCTCACAATTTTGATTAAATATTTTATTGGAATCTTTTATTCCGTAAAAGTTCGGAGAGTCACTTAGTGCTAGCATGCCATGGCCGCAATTAGCTCTAAGTGCAGTTGATATTAGAGATTAAATTTTTCTCGCTGTATTATTTTCCATAATATTTTAAACAAAGTGGGTTTACTCGGGTATAATCTGCACAATGTATCTTTTGTTACTCGTCTCATTTCCTCTCGGACATAATTAATTTCAATTAAGTTAACATGTATCCACTTCAGTAAGGGCAGAAATTATGAGCCAAGCAGCCTGAACTAGATGGTCTCACAGGCCATATGATTAATGCTTAAAGTTCTCTTAAATACATTCTTTCATCTTTCAATGAGTTTCATGCCTGCTTCATTAAGTCATTCTGAAGAATTACGAGTTTCGTCAAACTGAAATATTGGCCTGAGTCCAGCTTTCAGCCTCAGTTTCAAAATTGCGGAACCAATCCCTTTCTTTACTTAAATCAATATAAAGTTGTCCCCAGAGTCATTTGCCGTTATTGTTTGTCGCTCTTTTGGTCAACTTAAGTCCTCTAAAAAATGCAATACAAATGCAATTTGGGTATTTAAAGTCAAAATGGCTAGGAATCATTCATAGAGTATCTGTTGGAAATTGTATGTTATTTAATGTAATTCGATCTACACTTAAAATTCAATACTATTATAGTTGTTACCTTTGTCAAGATTTGCTGATAGCTTGAAAGTGATTGATTCTCTCAGACCTGGCTACAATATTGCCTATTAGAACTTCGTTCTTCAGCCTTTCGTTCTCATCTTTATTAAGTAGTCTGAAAAAAAAACATTTTTAGATTATTTAATCATAATCTTAATAGGAATTGACCCATACAGCTTTTCCCCACTATTCTACACGAATATTATTGGCCTAGTCAAGGAGAGGGCAGACCTTCTGATATAAAGACCGGCTGGGTTTCGGAGAATCTCCCAATATAACATTATTGTGAAGATTTTCATTTCGTATGAAAGTGCACGATTAAGAATTTGTTGGTTGATCTCACCTGGAATACGAAGACTGTTCCTGTTGATCTGCAAACGATTAATCTTAATCGAACATTCGGGTTTGGAAATTTTACGAGACACCCTCGTAAACATAATTGATTTCAGACTAAGGCAATCTCGGTCATGTTTTCCTTAGGTCACTAATCCACGATGACCCTAGACTTATATTAGGCCTTTGTAATTACTCCGATATAGGACCGGTATTGAGTGCAGGAGTTAATACACATACACACACATAAATACAAGGACAGACACCCTTAAGTAATAATGTCATGACTTATATGAAAAAGAACGAAAGCTCATTGTATTTTAACTGAAAAGTTTAAGGATTATTTGTTTACTTTGTCATCTTAAACATTATATTTAAGTAAAACGGCTGAAGGACAATGGAAATTGGTCA